TCCCTCCCTCCCTCCTTCCCTCCCTCCCTCCCTCCCTCCCTCCCTCTCTCCCTCGTTGTCCTTGCTTCCTCCCATGTAGTGGCTGTCATTGTGGATTCACTTTGTTTGTGCTCATTTGACAGGTGCCGTTTTCGTCAGATCACAGTGAATAAGCATGTTTCTCCTTCTTGCCCCCGCCCCCCCTTTTGGCGGGTCCTGCCCCCACTGTCCCCTCCCTTTCTCCGTCATTGTCCTCGCTTGCACACACATCATCCTGGGTGTTCACTTTGTTTGTGCTCATTTCACAGACTGTTTGTTAAATCTTGGTGAAATACATGGGTTTCTCCTCCTCTCGCACACCATGGGTGCCCTACCCTCACCCTCTCTCTGGCACTTGGTCAAAGTCATGGTTTGTTTATCATCATTCCTTGTGGTTGTTTCTCAGAAGCTAACCTTGGTTTGTTTAATGAATCTGGGTAGTTGTTCTTCAGGCGATGTTTTAGCCCAGATGTTGCCTGGCCTGTTTTTTTTTTTACAAAAGCTGGTGTGGTTGTTTCCAATGACCCGCTTTTGCCGTCGTTCTCATCAACACTGTTTCAAAGATTATGATTATGTACACAGACGTTAACACGATAACTCAGTTAAGACAGTGAAATCAATCACAACGGTAGTAGGGTGTAAATCTAGCCATTTTGTTCAGTTGGAGTCTGAAATCAGCTGCTTGTGGACCCTACTACCCTTGTGATTGATTTCGCATTTGGACGGACAGTTGGTGAAGGAATGACGCCTGCTGCTTTTCTGTGAATGGTGTTGGGTTGGGAACTGTGTTGGGACCAAAAACTCCGGGACAGGGCGAGGCTGGATTTCATATCGCACATGAGCTTATGGCCAGGGCGCTGGAGATTCCAGGTGCAAGCATCCACTGGTACGGGAAACAAGGTACCAGTTGGTCTGTCATTGTCGGTGCGCGCATTGCATATGGCGTGCTCGCAGTCCCATCTTCTTGCATGCATGATTTATGAAATGAAGATGTCCACTTCATTACAGGAATATAATGCTCTCTCTCTCTCTCTCTCTCTCTCTCTCTCTCTCTCTCTCTCTCTCTCTCTCTCTCTCTCTCTCTCT